CCATATGGACCTGTTCTGACCTACCTACTTATTCAACTTGATGACAGACTCATAGATCTCATTTGTAACCTGGAACTGCTTTGTACTCTTTTTAATGGAGCTCTATGTGTAGAGCAACCGTGGACAAGGTCAGAAAACTTAGTTCTAACACTAATAAAATAACTCTGGGTGAGAAACAACCTTTTTGCATGCTGGTTCCCTTATCTGTCAAAATGAGCAAAACACAATAGAGTCCTTTATGCAAAAACAGGGCTACTTTTTAGTTGTCACTGCCACCTACTTTCCCATCTTGAAGGATGGACTAAATAAGAGTAGAATCTCCGTCTCAGCAACACGCCTCTCCATGATGAAGATGTTAGCAGAGTCAGCTACAACTGGCAGCAGAGATGCACTTCAGGACGTCTAGTGGCCAACCGACAAGGTCACAGAGAGATTCTGCAGATGTCCTTTGACATAAAAATGTCTTGATTTTTAAAAATATTATTCTCATAATACAAGTCTATAAATATTAAAAGATAAGCTTAAAACTTCTTGGTAATTTCTTGAATCCTAACTTTAATACTTTGGAAGCAGGAACTGCATCCACTTCCTAAATAACATGCTTCCAGAAACTACGAACTTTGATAAATGTCGACAGTTGTAGAGGTGCTTCAAGGCCTTTTGTTCACAAGGTCGCTATAAGTTGTGCTGAACTTGAAGGCAAAACAACAATAATTATAATACTAATGAAGATCAATTTAAGATACTGGGAGGGGATCGATCACCTACAAAGATTCAGAAAGGCAAACACTTCCAAGATACGCTACTTTTACTGAGTATTCTCCTTCCCAAAATTTTTTATCAGCCAATTTAACTATGAAGCTTCATGTTTTACTATACCTATAAAAAGTTACTTGGTTAAATTCTAGAAGTAGAATGGCTTCTTTTTATATCATGCTTCTGTATTAATTTGTTTTCTTGATGAAGCTATCTAACAACTGCATATTAACAGAGAAAAAAATGTAGTTATCATTCACTTTTAATTTAGTAGCCACATGCAGCAAAAGCTAACTTTTGGCTGCATATTATGTACAAGGTCCCTGTACCAAAGGACTCTATACATTTTTCATATCTATTCAGTCCTAGAAGAGAGATCCTCTTTGTAGTATAACTATTTTTCAGCTGATATGCTCAAAGATTTTATATTTTACCTAGTTAATAAAAGATAAAGAAATTATTTGAGACCAGAGTTAACTCGAAACTCAAGATCTTTATCTTTGAAACAGTTGTCTCTGTGTACAATCACTTACTCACTGCCACTGAGTCCTTCTGACTCACAGCAATCCGCTGTTAAGTTTCCAAGGCTGCACACTGCAACAAGAAGAGACTGCCTAACTTACTCCCTTGAAGGTGCTGAGTGCAGTCTTTGGTGAGCAGCACCACTCACTACAGACTACATCACCAGAGCTCCTTCCATGTACAATAGGAGATCTTTATTTCAAATTTCATGAAATTAAAGCTACCATCAGTGCACAAACTTCATAAATAGTAACTGAATTATCCCTCCAACCTTCACTTTAATTTACCAAAATAATTCTAGACCCTGAGCTTTCCTAAACCTTTAATCATTTATGGTGCTCGGAGCTGTACTTACCCATTAGAACAATTTTTAAAAACATTAACACTGTGCCAATTATTTTTTTCAAAAGCGCAGAGATACTAATCAAGTGATCCTAATAGTCTTAAACACTATCCTCAAAATGAAAGATAAATGGAGACTAGGGAACTTGTATTCTAAAGTGCCACCATCTAGATGAAATTACTCTGTGAATTAGAGTAATTTCAATCAGATCTGCAAAATTGAACATTTTTCTCAAGATCAGAATTAGAGAGTAAGATAGTTTAACAGTCCAAACTTTGGGACATAAAAGAAGTTTTCTACAAGGTAAATTCAAAAGTAGATGTAGGCGGTAAGAAGAACAAAGAATTTAGAAAACTGGGAATAAATACAATTACAAACTATTAACCTACCCATCTTAATGGCTATTTTACCATAATACAAAACTCTAATTACTGTCAAAAATCATATAGTACACAAACAACAAGAAGTCTAACATCTTACTACACAGTGTCTTAAGTTTAAGTTAATAAGCTACACACACTAAGAGAAACCCCAATGACATTCACTCATTCATTCACTGACCTTCCAGTGAGTTTTCAGGAGATTCTAAGTCACACAAGAGGTGACTATCTCTGTCTTGAAGATCAGCTGATGGATTTGAACAACCAGACACACCGCATTTAAGTTAGCAGCACAACTCTCTATGGACTACTCCAAGAGAGCTCCCTTCCATTTTATATGACTATCATGGCTTTTAACACAAAATAATCTGACTTTTATAAAAACGCAAAACATAGAAAGGTATATGACACTGGAATCAGTTCTTACAGCAACTTTACACTGCTTTTCTGAAGCTGTAAAACTTTATGGCGAGGTCTGGTGGCCTAATGGCAAGAAGTTGCACTGCAATCCCAGAGGTGCAGTTTGAATCCACTAGATGCTCTGCTGGAGAAGGAGGGACAATCTCCTCTTGTACCAGTCAGATCCGATTTGACAGTACACACAAAATGATAATAACAATAATAATATAAAAAAAAATAAAAACTTGACAGCAGAAGACTGCCAATCTCTCCTATGGAGCAACTAGTGGATTCAAACCATTGATCTTTCAACTAGCAGCTATGCTTGTAGTTGAGGCTACAAGGGTTCCTTAAAGTAGGTACTGAATTTGTTAATTTCTTAACTCACTAATCACTATTAAAAATGGACTCCCCCCCTCCCCCAAATGCAGCAATCATACTATACCAATTGCCGTCTAGTTAATTTCAACTCATTCCAACTTTTCAGGATGGAGAATTGCTCCATATGGTTTTTAAGGGTGTAATTTTAACAGGGGTTCTGGTGGCCTAGTGGGTAAGGAGGTGTGTTGCCCCCCACCAAAGGCGGCCAGTTTGAATCCACCAGCAGTTCAAGTGGAGAAAATAATAATCTCTCCTCGCTTGTGATTTATAGCCTCTGAAAGCCTACTGGAGTCATCTATGATTGTGAGTTAGTTCCAACTCAACGCAATGAGTGAGCTTAATCTCGATAGAAGCAGACCTCCACATCTTTTTCCTGTGGAGCAGCGAGCTGATATGATCAAACTTCTACAGAAGTTTAGCATGAAAGCACTAAAATAATTGTGCTACCAGGGCTCCTAATCATATCACAATTTAAGTGTTACACCAGCTATTTGGTAAGCAGATATCAGGTATGTAAAAACACAATTAAATTATACCATTGCTGTTATTGCTAGATGCCAAGAGTCACTTTCAACGTGAATCGACCCCATGTGATGGAGTAGAACTACCCCACAGCGTTTTCTTGGTTGTAACTTTCATAAAAGTAAACTGCCAGTGGTTTTGAACATGAGTACTTAACAACTGTGCCACTACAGCACCTTTAAATTGCCATACCAGACTTTATTTAATATCATACACTCAGTAAGATAAACACAGTTATTAAACGGAGGAAGTGTAGGCAGGAGATTGCAATTGTGTGGCAGGAAGTACTAGGTATGGAAGTTTAGAAACAGGAATACCAAGTTCTGTTTTAGCACAAAGGAGAGGGAGGGGGAAGCATGTTAATGAATAAGGGCAAAAAGAGGAAATTCTGTGTAGTGAACAATCTGTTACATATTGATGACAATCCAAAATCATTTCCTAAGTTTGAAAAGCAAAAAACATTCACTTTTTTCATAATGCTTATGTGGGAATGTACTTCCTAGGCATACTGTGGCCTGGATTTGTCAGTTAGCTAAAATCTGAAGGCTAATCTCTCCTAATTTACACATCTATATGGAGAAATGGGTGGTTTAAACATTTAACTGTTAGTTTCATATGCTAAGCTAGTTTGCTAATTAAATATTTTTAGTAACACAAACTCACAAAAAAATTCCTTTAAAAAAAAGCATAAATTAGAAATCACTCCACTTAAATGTTAACAGTAACTTGTTATGCAAATTTGTTACTCTAAAGCCAAATCTTATTATGCTTAATGTTTAAAAAATAATTTGTTAAAAAAAATTGTTGTCTTTAAAGAGCTGGGTACTTTTTCTGCAATTAATTTTTAAAGATATTTCCATACATGGCAAGTTCTTTAATTCTAAACTAGAGTGAAAGTGAAGCACTATTCTCAATTAGCATCTTTCAAATCATATGAATTACTTATTGCCAACAAATACTAGTTATGAAATAAGTGTGTGTTTCTACTTCAGCTGATTCTTTCATTCAGTGAAGTGCAAATCTTGAAATTAGAGAGCAAAATTCTAAATGAATAGGCTTTTCTTAAAAGGGGTATAGTTTTGGATTGTGAGGTAGTCAACATTCCTCACCTCGGGCCCCTAGCACGTCAGACTCACAGAATGTTAAGGTCCAACCTAGCAGCTCAACTATTTCCAATTGCCATTCCAGCTTGCCTTGGCCCTATCAAATTTGTCAGGCTTTTGTGAACTCTTACTAAGCTCTGTTTACAGCACTGTACAACCGACGTTAGTACAGTGATTCTGGAAAGGCCTGAAGCCAGTACCTTGGCCACCGGTGGTGGGGGGAGTCTACAGGAGGGGGAAAAAAGGAAAGGCTTTAACTTCAAAGCTACACCCTTCCCTTCCCCTCCCTGTGCTTCTCGAAAGATCTACTCCTTTTCAACCCAAATGTCATTCTCAGATCAGTTGCTTTTTAAGCAAGCGGAGCTCAACCCACGCCCTCTTCATCGAACACCTTCTCCAACTGCCAGCGCTGGGATCACCGCGCTGCACCCACGTTAAACCCCTCACGAAGAGGGCCACGATCCCGGCCCGCAGATCGCCGGAGGGGGCAGGGCCTGGGCGGAGTGGGGTGCCAGGGAGGATCCGCTCCTGGGTCAGTTGAGGTGACCAGGTTCGGAGAGAGAGGTTTTCGGGGTAGGGGAAAGATGGCCTCACCTTGACCCTGATTTCGTAGGTGGTGAAGCGGCCCCTGCCAACCCCCACGGTTTGGGGGTTGCTCACATCGATCTCGAGGAAGTTGCTGGGCGGCCCGTAGGCGTCATTCAGGTTCTGCGGCTTGGTGATCAGCCGCCGGGTGTCTGCCACTGTCTCCGCCATTTCGCTGTTGCAGCCGCCGCCGCCGCCGCCGCGCGGGCTCCCTCCGCCCCCTTCGCGTTGCAACGAACCTGCCGCTGTCCCCCGTCGCGGAGACACGAGCCTGACGCGCAGCGGTCGAGGGCGAACGAGCACGTAAGAGCGGGCGTTCACGGCGTTCGCGAAGCTCCGCCCACCCCGCACCCCTCAGGCTTCCGCCTCTCAGGCTCCCGGGAGAAACAGCTGACGCGCTGAAAGCCGCGCGCTGGTCCCCGGAGGCTCACGCCGAAGGAGTGGAGAGAGCTTCAGACAGGGGGAGAGGGGGTTTGTAACGAAGTGGTGTCACAGGACTTCAGTCACGAACAGGTTCCCTCCCGACTACAATGCCCACAGTGCACCGGGCGAGAGCGCCGCCAACGCTGAGCCGCCGCCTAGGTGCTGAGGACGGCGCGGGGGGAGGACGGCGCGGGGGGAGGACGGCGCGGGGGGAGGACCCCGGGGGCGGGAGTTTCTGGTCTTCCTGCCTCGGCTCTGACCTTAGGGACCCGCAGGGACGGCGCCAGCTGTCCACACGGTCTGAGGCGCGACCAGAGAAAAGTTAAAAGGCGAAACATGCTCGGTCCGGCCGTCAACCAAGAGCAAAACTGCCTACACGAATGCCAAGGGAGCTTGTCCGGTTCCTAAGCGCTTCTCTAGATACCTTCCAGCAGAAGTGGCATCTACTTCCTAAACGACATACTTCTGGAAACTCTATGAACTTTGAGAAACGACAATAGTTATAGAAAGGCTTCAGGTATTTTGTTCATAGGATCGCTATACGTCGTGCTCAAGTCAACGGTAATCCACAACAGAAGATACTGTCAGGGTCTCAAATTATTATTTTGACTTGATCCTCAGATTTCATCACATACGTGTTTGTATTAAATGAAGGCAAAAATGTGAGTGGGAGTTTTTTATTATTAATAATTTTAATGAAAATTTACAGAGACTTTGGATTTCCATTCATTCATTGTTGCACTTTTCTCCCTGTCCAGTACACTCTTCTCTTTGAAAAGTAAAAGAAAAACTCTTTGTTTTACAGTCCCTCCCCCCAAGCCCACCCCACTATGCAGCCTTCGTTCTGGACTCCTGTCATGACAAAAATACCTAATCATATATCCCTTTTAGACAGTTTTCTCCCTTATCTGTTTCAATGCAGTATACATTATTGAACCCATCTTTCTCAGTCTCTCCCCAACGCCAAGGTCAGTCCTGTTTTACAACAGTGGCACCATGCAGTATTTGTCCTTTTCTGACAGATATTTCACTCAGCGTAATGTCCTCCAGGATTACCCATTTTTAATAGTATTGCATGAGTTCTTGTTTTTCAATGCAGTGTAGTATTCCATTGTGCTTCTCTATCCATTAGTTTGTTGATGGCAGTTAGGTTGTTTCAACTCCTTGCTATTGTGAACAAAGCCGCACTAAACGTGGGTGGGTGTGCATATGTCTGCTTGGGTGGCAATTATGGTCTCTTTGGGGTATATTCCCAGTAGTGGAATTGCTGGGTCAAATGGTATCTCTATTTGGAACTTTTTGAGGAAGCACCACACCGCCTTCCACAGGGGTTGCACCATTTTACACTTCCACCAACAGTGAATAAGGGTTCCAGTTTCTCCACAATTTCACCAGCATTCGTTGCTTACTGTTCTGTTAAATTTTGCTATTCTTACTGTGGTAAGATGATATCTCATAGTTGTTTTGTGAATGGGAGATTTTACTTTCTTAAATTAAGCATACCTAAGTCAAGTTGGCTTTGAAGTGTGTCACTCATGTGCAAGAAAATCAGTAGACTGGAACTACCCTTGAGTGGTCTATCACAGTATGATTGGCCATTTTCCCCCTTTGTTTTCTGTAACTTTCTAGTAACTTTTAAAAAAAAACTATAAAGAGAAAGTAAATATTAAAAGTTGTTGTTGTTATGTGCCATTGAGTCACTTGCGACTCATAGAGACCCTATGTACAACAGTCCTAAACCCTGCTCTGTCCTGTGCCAATTTCACTGTCTCCGACACACCAATCCCAATTACCCCAGTCACTGAATCAGTCCACCTCATAGAGGGCCTTCCTCTCCTGCACCTGGCCTCCACCCTCCCAAGCATGATGTCCTTCTCCAAGGACCCGTCTCTCCTTACAATGACCAAAATATGTCAGACGAACCCTCAGAATCCTTGCCTCCAAGGAGTAGCCTTGTTTAACCCTATCCAGGATGAATCTGTTTGTTTTCTTAGCAGTCCATGGTACCTTCAATACTCTTCTCCAGCACCACAGCTCAAAGGCATCAATTCTCCTTCTATCCTCCTTAGTCATTGTCCAACTCTCTGATGCTTAACAAGTGATTGCAAAGACCATTGCCTGTACCAGACGTACCTTAGTCTCCAGAGAGACACCATTGCTCTTCAGGACTTTAGAGAGGTCCCTAGCAGACTTTCCCAAGAAAGCTTCACAGGTGAAAAGCAAGGCAGCACAACAGAGCTGAAAATCCCCACCCACACAGATAATGGTAGAGGACCCCCAAGGCTGCGCTGGACTTGGACCTGCGGCCCTCTGGCCAAGAAGAAACTATCTATACACCAGTTCCACAGGACACATCACCTTCGTTCGGGACACATTACCACTAAACTTAGGAGACTCTGGTCACAGCATAAGAAACTGTTAGCAGCTCACATGTCTGGAATCACAAAAGCCAAGGAAGCTATAGATACAAGCTGTCAGATCAAGGGCTGGACAATGAGAGATAGATGTTGAAGGGAGGGGTTAGAAGTAGATGGGTATCTTGATGGATGGCGGAGCAAAGAAATAAATGGGTCAAGACACTTGTGCCAAGGGCAGGGACAACACTGAAACTAATAGTTAATTCCACAATAAGGGATATACTTTCACTCTTTCTGTAAAATGCTTATCTGTTGGATACTTTTCTAAATCTGAACATTCAGATTAAGACACACTAGGAAGAAGGATTGGCCATCCACTTCCGAACTAGCAGGCCTCAGAAAACCCTATGTAACCTAAAACTAAATATTAAAAGTAATGTATTGATATTCTTTGCTTTTGTTGAGTTCGTCCCAACCTCTGTACAACAAGCCACTTTAAACACAATTACGATCTTTCTCTTTTCCTCTGATCCTGTTGCAAACATGGTGCCTTCTAGAGGCTGGTCCTTCACGAAAATATGTTCAAAGTACCTAAGAAATCTTGCCATTCTCCCATCCAAGAAACCTTTTGATTATACTTCTAAATCAGATTTGTGGGTTATTCTAGTAGTCCATGATACTCTTTACCAACTTCATACTCCCAAGGCATCAATTATTTTTAAGTCCTCTTTATTCATTGTCCCACTTTTATGTTCATATGGGGTGACTGAAAACATCATGTCTTGGGTCAGATGTCCCTTAGTTTTCAGAATAACTTTGCTTTTAATAACTTTATAAAGTTATTTGCAGCAGATTTACCCAATGCAATGTATTATTTGATTTCTTGACTGCTGTTTCCATGAGTGTTGGTTGTGTTGACGTCCGTCTTCATTTAACATGATGCTACTTACTGGTCCCTTTTGCTAAAAATAGTTCCTCCCCCTTTGTGTTTCCATACCGAGAGGCTGGGCTCTGTGGTGTGAAATGTGGCATCAGGATTGGAGGAAGACTTATCAACAATCTGCATTGTGCATTTGACACAACCCTGCTTGCTGAAACTGAGGAGGATCTGAAATGCTTGTTCCAGAAGGTAAAGGACTGCAGTCTTCAATTTGGATTGAAGCTTAACATCAAGAAAACAAAGATTCTTACCAGTGGGCCAGTTGGCAGCATCATGATAAATGGTGAAGAGATTGAGATTGATAGCAGCTTTAGTTTGCTTGGCTCCACAATCAATACTCTTGGTACCAGCAACCAGAAAATTAAAAGATAAATTTCATTGGGAAAGTCTGCTGTCAAAGATCTCTCCAAGGTAATGAAGAGCAATGATGTCAGTCTGGAGACTAAGGTGTGCCTGATCCAGGCCATAGTTTTTGCAGTTACTTGCTATGCATCAGAAAGCTGGACAATGACTAGGGTTGATAGAAGGAGAACTGATGCTTTTGAGCCGTGGTGCTGGAGAAGAGTATTGGATATACCATAGACTGCCAGGAGAACAAACAGGTTCATCCTAGAGAGGGTGAAATAAACCAAAATCTGCGTTATGCGGATGACACAACCCTGCTTGCTGAAACTGAAGAGGACCTGAAGCGCCTGCTGCAGTGTCAAGGACTGCAGCCTACAATATGGATTGAGGCTCAGTGTCAAGAAGACAAAGATTCTCACCACTGGACCAATTGGCAGCATCAGGATGGATGGTGAAAAGATTGAGATTGTACACAGCTTTAGTTTGCTTGGCTCCATAGTCAACAGTCTTGGCACCAGCAGCCAGGAAATTAAAAGGTGCATTGTCATGGGAAAGTCTGCTGTTAGGGACCATCATGGTAAGTGAAAAAGGTACAAAAGATGAAATCATACTCTGACTCTATACAAAGCTCTATGTTTCCCATGCAGATCTGGGTCTGAATGTCCCATCTGGCTTAGGCTGGCTGGTTGTTAACAAAGCCAATAGGATCCTGGGATAATGGCATACCTGAGGGTAGGCAAGATGGCCATCTCAGCTTCCTGCCACCTGTGATGCACTAGGATTCCTGATGCGAATTAGGGGCACAAAAAGTGAAACCAGATTTGGCTCATATGCAAGTTCTAATTAAAGCTAAAGAAGGTCAAATCAAATCCACAGGAATCAAAATTTGAATCCTTGAACACTAATGAAGACTAGATAAACTGTGGGAGGACATAAAAAATATCATCCACAGAGAATGCAAAAGGTCATTACAAAGACAGAAAAAGAAAAAAAACCAAAATGGACGTCAGAAGCCTGCTCTCCCCACAGGAGCCACACCAGTGGGACCCACGACCAGTGGAACCCACAACCAGTTGGACTCACAAACAGTGGGGCCCTCAACCTGAGGCTGCAGAACCAC